TTATTAAATTGTTTTCTCATGTAAAGAATTTGTAATTGGTGTTAAAAGCTAGTAATGATTCATGCCAAGGTAGTCTCATTTCTATTTATTACTATACATACATACATACATACATACATACATACATACATACATATATATATATATATATATATATATATATATATAATATAAAAATGAAATATTATTAGTAACAACCTTGTCTTCTTATAAAATTCTAATTTTTTTTATAAATCAATAGCTATTAAGGTTAACTTGAAGACTGTTCATTTAGTTTTCCTTACTTTAACATAAGGTTGCTTGCTGAAACTAGGGAGTTTTGGCAGAATGGTGTATGAGAAACTGCTGAAATAGTTTTGGCAAATTGTTCTGAAATGCCAAAAGTGCCAAAAGTGCCAAAAATGCCAAAAATGCTGAAAGTGCCAAAAGTGCCTATAGCTGACTTTTGGTATAATTGCTAGTAAGATTTTAATATAGTTTCGCTGATTATTTTAATTGATTATTATTCGTAACATAAATTCTTATTCAAATTATTCATAATAGTAATACAACCTAATACTAATACTAATATATACTAATTTGAATAATTTGTTTTCATTCAAATAATGATAATTTGTTTTCATTCAAATAATAATAATTCGTTTTCATTCAAATAATTCAGTTTCATTCGAATAATGATAATTTGTTTTCATTCAAATAATTTGTTTTCATTCGAATAATAATAATTTGTTTTCATTCAAATAATAGTAATTTGTTTTCATTCAAATAATAATAATTTGTTTTCATTCAAATAATAGTAATTCAAATAATAATAATTCATTTTCATTTGAATAATAATAATTCGTTTTCATTTGAATAATAATAATTCGTTTTCATTCAAATAATTCGTTTTCATTTGAATAATAAAATAATTCATTTTCATTTGAATAATTCGTTTTCATTCGAATAATAATAATTTGTTTTCATTCAAATAATAGTAATTTGTTTTCATTCAAATAATAATAATTCGTTTTCATTCAAATAATAGTAATTTGCTTTCATTCAAATAATAATAATTCATTTTCATTTGAATAATAATAATTCGTTTTCATTCAAATAATAGTAATTTGCTTTCATTCAAATAATAATAATTCATTTTCATTTGAA